TTTTTGCTTGTTGAAGCTTAGGGAGCAGCATTTGGCATGGTGTTAGGTACAAATTAATGTAATTTTTTTTTATCAATTAGGTAAAATTAATGTATATTGAAGTCTTTTAGAGATCAATCTCAGTTGCATAGCAATCTAACATTCTAGAGTGAATGCTCCTATTTCTCCCCTTTTATTTTGGTGCCAGGGGAATCTATCCCTATGAATCTTGATTTTAGGTCAAGGATTTTTGCATTTTAGGGTTTAACATTCTAGAGTTTTTTTTTCTGTATTTTTTTTTCAATTTTTTATTTTATTTTTATATTTTCTATGTGTTTTGTACTGTATTATTATTTATTTAAATAGTTTTATTTTTTCTGTTTTTATTTAATTTATGCTATTTTTTATTATTTATAAATATTTTTTTTATTTTTAATTTATTTATAACGTCACAGGTCGAACCGTTCAACCCGGATGGTTGAATCACTTAACCGGAAACCGGTCCCCTAACTGGTTCTGTTTCCGCTTCGTTTTTAAAAACCATGCTATCAAGCTTAGCTTCCAAGGTATCCTTTTCTATTCTATTCTTTTCTTTTTTTAGCTCTTAGTCATGTGCTAATTTTTTGGCACATACCAACCATGGCAAGCTCTACCTCATCCTCGAAGGTAGTAATGACATCCCTAGACTCTACTTCATTTTGAACTTGCCTTCACTATTCTTAATTTTTGTATGCATCTATCACGTCTAGCATAGTATCCTTACAAGCCTAATTACAGGCCTGAAGATAATTGTGTAACCCCTTGGTTACATGTGCAAAGTAATTCCTTAAATTCCATAGCTATGAGAACTCAAATGCCAAAAAAACACAAGAGCTAGGAAGGGACTTGTGCTATTTCCTGTATTGCTAGGGGTCATCTGGGCAATGTGCTTGATGCAAAAGCCTACTCTATTGGGAAAGACATCTATAAATGTTGCTGAAACTTGTACTGCTTTGGAAGTTCACAATATTGTTCTTAGCTTTAGAAATCATCATGTCTGTATTGAAGGTGTTCCTTCCTTGTTATCTCCTACCTAAAGAAGAAGTTGAGTGTTCCATGGAAGCTTAAGACCATCACCACCGATTGCTCGAAGCTGTCCAAGAGTCTTGAGTGTGGCATCTCTTACAACACTCTCACAGGGAAGAAAATTAACCAAGCTACGGATTGATGATGGAGAACAAAGCTCTCTCTTCCTCTTTTTGCCCTTCTTTGTTTTGTATTTCTGATCTTCTAGTGACTTAATGTACATTTGCTTTTGTGATGCTTGGGGCAGACCTCCAATTCTTACCAAAAAAAGGGAGCTCTGAAACAAAATTTCGTATTGATTACCAGAATTCTTCTTTGGTTACAAATGCATTGCTTGGTTACAACGGAGGATATTCATATATATGGGTTAGGCTTCCCACATCCACTTCGCTAATGAATATGAGTGGTTAATATTAACACTTGCCATCAACCCAATGGTTATGAATGTTCGAGAAATCTTCTAGATAATTCTACATCTATCCTAAACCCTATTAGTGGAACTTTATAGAGTGGCTCGAATATAATGGAAAAGACTCCAAACTACTCTAGAAATGTAAAGTTCAATTTCTAGGCGATAACTTGAGTAATGTATGATATAAAAGCTAATGTCGTCATCATCTAAGTTAAGCAGAAAGGATTGACTGAGGCTATGTTTGGGAGTGCTTATTTGAATAAGCACTTATTTGCATGTGCATTCAATTTTTTCAAGTGCTTATTTTAGAAAATAATAATTTATTTCATATTAGGTGTTTGGTAGTCCTTTTCTCCAATAAGCACTTAAATAAGCATATGTGACTATTTTATCATTCATTTTCATTCAAATTTTCAAAATATATCCCTATGAAAGTACTTATTAAATTACTTTTATAGAAAACTTTTTATGAAAGCAGTTTTATTAAATTACTTTTACAAAAACACTTTTTACGAAAACACTTTTGTAAATGTACTTTTATGAAAGCACTTTATAAAAACACTTTTATGAGAGCACTTTTATAAAAATATTTTTATAAAAGTAATTTTACGAAAAGTGCTTTTATGAAAGCACTTTTATAAACGTACTTTTATAAAATTCAACTAGGGATACTTTTATAAGTGGTATTTTAAAATTCAACTAGGGATAATTTTGGAAGAAAAAAATTGAATAAGTACTTAAAAAAGGGAAAATCTATGATGCAGGAAAGAGTTTTGACCAATCAAAAACCATCCATGAATTTGGGCTTAAAAAAGCCCTTATTTTAAAAATAAACACTTATTTCAGGCTTATTTCTCAAATGCCAATAAGTGTTTAATGGCCCAAATAAACACTTATTTTGAATATGCGCATATTTTTATGCACTCCCAAACATGACCTTTTGATAGCCATTTTGCGGGATATTGGACAGTTGGACCAATCATTACCTTCCACGCCAACCAGCCATAAAGTGCATATATATAGAAGAACTACTACTCAAACTATTTCCACCTATTTATTGGACATAAAAACTAATATATGAAGTAAAAATACCTTCGTCATCGATCAAAGCTCTACTTTTACTTATTGTTTTCAACTAGTGTTACTTATTTGTTATCAAAATATAACATAGGGTGTTTGATTTTTTTACTATTGTGGTAAATAATACAAAAATCCTTAAATCTCCCCCTTAATTTTCTTATAAATGCTAAAACATATCTTAAGGACATTGACAACAATAACGTAAGTAGGGGTGTTCACGGGTCGGGTTGGGTCGGTTTCATGGGATTTTCCCAACCAACCCAACCCAGTCGGGTTACCAGAGGTGGGAACTGAAATCGACCTATTGATAGGCCAAACCGACCTGGTCGGTTTGAGTCGGGTTGGGTCGGTTTTGGTCGGTTTCGGTTTTGCGCCTATACAAAGCCGAATAAACTCTGAATTAGTTGAGGACTTGAGTTGAGGGGGGCGGACCAACCAAGTTAAGTTAGAGAATAGAAGATTTTAAGAAAAGACAAAAGTGGAATTAGAAGACTAGTAGGAAACTAGAAATTCTAATTGTAATTGCCTAATGGGTCTTCTAGTTCTAGTAGGAATTCTAATTGTAATTGCCTAATCTAGGTAAAAAACTAAAAAAWGACACCTAATTAATTGAATTCTAATTGTAATTGCCTAATGGGCCTTCTATTTCTAGTAGAAGTCTAGAAGACTAGTAGGAATTAGGAAACTACTCAAACTAGGAAGTAGGAACTACCAAATTAGTAGAAGAAAGACTAGTTCGGTTCGGGTTGGGTCGGTTTCGGTTTTCTTATGTGAAAACCGAAACCGACCCAAGATATCGGTTTTTGTATGTGCCCAACCCGAAACTGACCAGTACAAATGAAAACCCGACCAACTCGGGTTGGGTCGGTCTGGGTTGGTCGGTTTGGTCGGGTTGGGCATTCTTATGAACAGCCCTAAACGTAAGTGTGATATTTAATTATTATTATGGGAAAATTCTTGATTAGTACCATGTACTGTGGCCTACTGCCACTTTGGTCTCCAAATTTTAAAACGTGATAATTCAGTACCCAAAGTTTCAAAATGTGTCAATTTTGTACCTGTCATTAATCAACATGTTAATCAAACGTTAAGTGATATTTGAAAAGACAAATGCCCTTCGAGTATCATTTAACTTTCTTTATCAACTGTCCAAACATTGATAATAATGAACAGTCCCAAATCCTCTCAGTAGGCATTCTGGTGACCCCAACTTTCTTAAATAGAAGAGGCAAGGATTTGAGACTGTTCATTTTTTATCAACGTTTGAATGGTTGATAAAGAAAATTAGATGACACTCAAAGGGCATTTGTGTTTTTTTTTAAATGCCACTTAACGGCTGATTAACGACAGATGCTGGATTGACACATTTTGAAAGTTTGGATACTGAATATTGTATTTTAAAGTTCAGGAACCAAAGTGGCACTTGGCCCAAAGTACGGGGTACTAATCGTGAATTTTCCCTTTAATTGTAACATCAGTAATAATAAGAAAGCTCTAGCTAGGGATGGCAATTTCCCCCATAAAAGCAGGGCCCCACCCCGCCCCACCCCAAATAGGGTGGGTTTTCCCTGACCCTAAACAAGGATGGGTGGGGACGGGGAAAATAATTTTCCCCGAACCGGGTACAGGGCGGGAGTGGGTTTTATATATAATTCCCCAAACCTGCCCCGAACCCGAAGGCAAATTAGTAAAATATATCTAAGTTTAATATTGATATTTAAAATATTTCTAAGTTTTCCCTAAATTTTTAAAATCCTTAGATCCCATAATTTTATTTTTGAATTATTCCTAAAGTATTATAATTCAATTCTAAAATACTCCCAAATTCCTATATGCTATGTATAAATTGTCCATAAAATAGATATTTTTTAAATAATTGTCTTAAAGCGGGAAAAATTTGGGATTCCCCATTCTCGATAGGGAATAGATGTCCCGCTCTTGAACCTGCCCCGCCACTGGGGATGGGGCAAAGTATCGTGACTTCAGGGCGGAGACGGGGAGGGGGTGCCCCACCCCAAACCCGCGCCGTTGCCATTCCTAGCTCTAGCAGGCTTCACTTGTTAAATTTGTTATGCATGCTTCTTGGAAAACTTTTGAGTTCGAGAGGAGCTAATTAATATCAATGGATCGGAATCGAAAGGTCTAATCCTCGGCGTTTTTAGCTAGCACATTGTTGTCGACTCTCGGGCCTCGGCCCTTGACGTGCTCCTTAATGGATCTCAAATTTTGGCCCAACTGGGCCAACCCTGGACATTTTTTTTTTTTTGAAAAATCCCAAACGGTTCATCTACATTCTTCATGTGATTAGACCATGAATGTGTGTAAGACAGGGAAAGATGGAATTTCCATTTTTCCATGTAATTTCGGTGTGCTATCTTCCATTCCAGTGAGCTGACCCTTTCTGTCATGTCATCTCCTCATCTTTTGCAATTTCATTGCACAAGTGGAGCAGCCAGAGAACATAGAAGGAGAAAATGAAAAATGTACAACTGTATAGATCGTCTCGTTTTAATTGAAAACCAAACAGCGTCCTTATCAAACTACACACACAACATACAGGCAGACAAAACAAACACCCTAATGTCACCTTACGTGAAAAGGAATCTTTTTTTTTTTTCTCCCCGGTAGAAATTACGTGAAAGGAGTCTCTAATTCTCTATTCAGCGTTTTCTTGAAGCTGGTTCCTTCTGGGCATTAAAATAGACGGCTGCAACCGGAAGGCCCAATCCGATTTCTGCAGCGAAACTACGAGTACTGAAGTTGCTACGGGCAACCGGCAGTCGAATCCCTTCAGTCATGGGTCCTTTTTGCTGAAATAGTGCGAAGACGTATCGGTGAATGCCGGTCGGAGGGCTAGGTCCCATGTACACTACCATCTCTTTCCCTGCAATCCCATTTTTTTTTTTAATTCACCACAATAAATAGAAGAGATAACAGTTTATCTCTTTTCCCAGTATTCTGATACTAATTAAATCGAGAGATAAAACAAACCATTTGTGGCATCTGAACCTTCTGGAATATCTACGACGATCCTGCAAAGAACATAAAAAGCAGCTACAGTTCAAGACAACAACTTTATGTTTACAAACTGCGCCCTTGCCCTTCCAAGTTTGTCTGAGAGATAAGAGAGAGTTACCAATTGAGCCATTCCCTCAGATTGGGTTCACTGGGACTTGGAGCATCAGGATCGGTCATAACCTACCCAGGAATTATGGGAGGAAAAAACTATTAGAAACAGAAAAGAAGGATGATGTTCCGAGATGAGAGCTTGTATAGGACAGTATGAAGACAGAAGAATATACTTACAAGAGTGTAGAGGCTGTTAGAGAGACGAGAACCGGAGAGATGAACTCTAGGCTTATTGGCTACAACAGAAGGCTTGATCTCGCATCCGTTAGCGATCTGTTTGGAGCCGTAATGGACGGTGAATTCGATGGTCGGAGTAAACATATCGAGGACGTCTCCGATCACCTTCCCGACGACGAGTGGCTCTATGGACCGACCCATAGAGATCGGTGAGGTGAGAGACGATCGGTGATCAAGCGATGGAGACTTGAAGATAAGGTAAGAAATGGGTAGTTTCGCGTGAGCAGCTGATAGGTTTTCACTCCAGTCAACCCAACACGAAAGAGAAGGGAGAAAGGAGTTGGTTTAAAATATGTCCTTGCGAGAAGTGAGAGAGAACGTAAGGAAAGACATGTTGCAAAATTATGCGACGAGTGCCACGGATGTCAAACTGCGATGACACGTGTTGTTGCTTGGGAAATATATCCTTCGTTGTGGGGTCCACTGACCAGCAACTTCTCTACAAGTGGACGAATATTTCGCTTTATTTGGAATAGGATTCGAGAAAACTGATGAGACGAGCCATCCCTCCGCAACTGCAATAGGCCGCATTCTCCTTTTTAGAAACTGGTAGAGAGACTAGAGAGGTCTTCCACCGTCCATAGGCTACAACCCCAAAACCTACTGAATTGAGTTTCTGCTCCCTACCCTATTGATGATAAGCTCTAAACTTGTCCTAGATGATTATTTAGGACTTGACGCTGATTAGCCCATTACGGTTCCGGGGTCCAAAATCCAAATATAGTTTGAACTTGCAGGTCCATGGTTGTAAATTTGTAATAAGCCTTAAATGGGCATGCTAACTTAAAAACTGCTTTGCTAATGCTCAGTTTGGAAGGAATACAAATAGAAGCATGTAGTATGCAAAATCCTGTATGTGTTTGTATTGTATATATTTGTATTTGTATTTTTTTTAAACTGAGTTTAAACACCTTTATATGGATTGTATATTATTGAGCGCCCAGGGGTACAACAAAGTTGGAGCGGGTTATGTCAGCTGGTTGCGGTCAATCCTAACCCAACCCGAATTATGAAAGTCCTTAATTTCGGGTTGCTTTCGTGCTCGTGGTGCTTCTCAGTTAAGCAAGCAAAATGCTATATAATATATTCTCCATATTTCATCACTTCTAGTCTTGTAGACAATGACATCTCCCAGAATTAACCACTTTTTTGGGGGCGGCTAGTGGGAGGAAACGATCTATATAATGCCGCAAAACAAGATGATCTGCTGGGCCTAGAAACTACAAAGCAAAAGGACAAATTAGCTTAAAGATGAGCGAGTAAATTAAAGAAGGGTACAGATCTCAACAGTATTGAGAATCCTATCTCTTCATCTTTATGAATGACATTTTCTTTCATTTCGAAATCCAGTAGACATCAACGAAGTAGTAATCTGATTTCGGTCTTTTTATCGGTTGAGAGTGGGAATCTTGATAGGTCTATTGATTATGGCGAAATTAAAGATGAGTTCATTTTATTAAAGAAGGCCACTGAAGGCAAATTTTCTATTTTCGGAGTGGAGGAATCACAAGACCATGAATGCTCACAGTGAGTCTAGACCTGCTGTAGTGTATTTGTTTATTGTTGAGACTTCCGGAAAGTTCATGGTCGATTCAAAGAGATAGAGTTGCTACTCATTTTTTAGAGGAAATGTGTCATCATTTTTTAGATTCGAAAAACGATTTTTTTGCCTTGATAGTGACTCCATTCTTTGCCCAAGGAAAGGCATGAACCGAAAGGCTTTGGGTTCAAAGGATTGGGAGAAGGAAGGTGTTAGGCACCCCTCTCTCCAAGCTGCTATAGCAGCCCAATACGGGAGTAATTTAGGCTCAACTTCTGGCAGAAACACACACTAACAAGATTATTCAAAGCTCCTGAAATCTGGCAAAAATGTTCCCAATTTCACAAAGAATTGATTTGAGGTAATGTTATCGGGTCTTAGGTAGTACTTTCCCTAAGACCATCACCTCTCTACCTCTTTTTCTCAATCCAGAGGAAGCCGTGAATGCAAATTTCTCAAGATTTCAGAGCTTTAAGCAACTTGAAACTAAACTAAATGCAAAGAGATGGTGGAATGAGAGGCTTACCTCTCATGAACGATCTTGAAACAAGCTTTCCAGCATCTAAATGGACTTCAAATGAAACTAGAATGAGGCCGGAGCTAGGTTGGGCACTTCTGGTGTTGAGTCAGGAAGATTGAGATCTGTGGCTGACAAGTTCAGATCAATAAGATTTGCTAAAATATAATATTTGTTTGATGAAAGGTCAGACAGGGGAATTTTGGGATGAAATTTGGTGGGTGGGCATCTTTGAACATCTTAAATCTGATGGAAGTGATCAATCTTTGATCAAAGGTGTAGATTTACTAGTTCAGTTCAGATCACAGTCTTATGGTTTTTCAATCAATGAAAGGGTCCAAAATAGAATCTTACTTTTTCAACAGTCAAATGGAAGTGTTTGGTCATGAAATTTGATGTGATGGGGTTCTTTGGGTCTCTGAACATGGTGGTGGGGTTTGATTGGTCAAATAAGGTTTGGATGATGGAATTTGTGACATGTGAGCTTTTAATCAATAAGATTTCACAAAACAAAATCAAGGCTTGACGTTAGGTCAAATGAGGGAATTTTGGGATAAAATTTGGTGGGTAGGTATGGTCAAGATTATGAGGTTGTTGAAAGGGTTTGATCATGTTAGGCATGCACAGATCATGGGTTTTTGGTTCGAGGAGCGTCGTAGTGTTAAACACGTTGAAATGGAATCTCTTATAGGTGTTGGCTAAATCCTGGAATTTAGGGATGAAAACTTGTGTCATTGTTTGTTTGAGGGTTTTGTTTCACATGATGGATTTTGCTCGAGGATCAGGTGTGGTGAAATGGCATAATCAAGACCATAAAAAAGGAATCATGTAGATTTAACGGTGAATTTATGGGCATTTGGGTTTATTAGGGTTTTGGCATGTTTTAAAGTGATTGGTGTGGTCTAATTGGGCATCCGGAATGTAGGAGATGGGCCAAAGAAGGGGTCGAACAAAAATCGGGTGCTAATAACTGCCCCTCTTTGTTGAAGGTAGCGAGTTGTTGAACAACAAAGAAAAAAGAAGCACCTAGAGGTTTTTGTAAGGGGCAAGAGGTTATGGGAGGAAATTTTGTTGCTAGAATTTTGGTCAAGGTCGAAATTGATATAGTGCAATACCCTCGCCTGGAAAGCGTAATACCATCCCAAGCCTCAGTGGGTAAATGCAAGCATCATACAAACAACAAAGTGGCATCATCCCAAAAGAAGTCATAGATAATTTTTATCTTTGTTGATTGGATTTGTTAATTTTGAATTTGACGATTTGAACCCCTGTAACTTTAGGAAACCTGATTTTGAATTTTGTCATCTAATGAATTTTTGTATTAGATGAGTCTTATTCTTGATATTTGATGAATCTTACAAGTTTGATATTTGATCATTTGATGTTTGATATTTGATGACTTTATGAGTTTTACTTGATTTTGACTTTTGAATTTGGTATTTAATAAATTTAAGATTTGATATTTGATGATTTGATTAGATATTTGATGAATTTGGTAATTTGGTTTTGGTATTTAAATTTTTGATACTTGATGATTTGATTTTGGTTGGATGAATTTGATGTTTGATTATTTGATTTTGATATTTGATGAGTTTGTTGACTTTGATATGTGATGATTTGATTTTGATATTTAATGGTTTAATGATTTGATTTTTATATTTGATATTTGATGAATTTGATGATCTAATATTTGATATTTGATGATTTGATTTTGATTTTAATGAATTTGATGATTTGATTTTGATTTGCTATTTGATGACTTTGATATTTGATAAATTGATTTTGATATTTGATGAACTTGACGATTTGATTTTGATATTTGATATTTGACTATTTGAATTTAATTTGTTATTTGATGACTTTGATATTTGATGAACTTGATGATTTGATTTTGATTTGATATTTGATGATTGATTTCGATATTTGATGATTTGATATTTGATGGTTTGATTTTGATATTTGATGAATTTGGTATTTGATGAACTTGAATATTTGATTTTGATTTTCTTTTTTATGACTTTGATATTTGATGAACTTGATAATTTGATATTTGATGAGTTTGATGAGTTTGATATTTGAAATTTGATAAATTTGATATTTGATATTTGATTTTGATTTGCTATTTGATGAATTTGATGACTTTAATATTTGATATTTGATGAATTTGATGATTTGATATTTGATGAATTTGATGTTTGATTATTTGATGATTTGATAATTTGATAATTTTGATATTTGATAAATTTGAAGATTTGATTTTGATACTTGATGTTTGATATTTGAGGATTCGATTTTGATTTGATATTTGATGAATTTGATGACTTTGATATTTGATATTGGATAAATTTGATATTTGATGAATTTGATTATTTGATTTTGATGTTTGATATTTGATATTTGATATTTGGTGATTTGAATTTGATATTTGATAATTTTGATATTTGATATTTGATTATTTGATGATTTGATAATTTGATATTTGATGAATTTGATGATTTAATATTTTTTATCTTTGATGATGATATTTGATTTTTTTTCTTATTTTTGGATTTTATTTATTGTTATTATCACTCTTTTGTTTTTTTTTTGAAGAATGTTGTGTGTACATAACCTTATAGGAAGGGCGAGGTCAAGGTTAACTCCGTCCAGTCATGAGACCTTACATAGCCTTGATGTAACTTTAGTCTTGCTGTAATTCTTGGAATTAGGAGGTGTATCAAACACTAAGGTAAGGTCTTTTAAAGAACTAAGGAAGGAAAAGACTTTGCACTCATATGAATAGAGGAGAGAATCTACTAACGATAGGATTCCTCGATCTACTGACAAGTTGGACCCCTTTTTGTATTTTTTTCTTTTTTCTACCTTTTTTTCTTTTTACTCTTTTTTTCCCTTAGTACCCTAATCAAGGTTTTCACCGAGCCTGGGTGTCGCCTAATTGTTGCACACAGGAGCTATTATTGGTTTTCATCCGGGCCGACGAAATTTGGTTTTGCCATGGCTTGATGCTTTTACCTTGAGTGCCCTTTCAGGTATTCACCCTGCCCTTTCAAGCCACACAATTACTTTTTATTTCTCTCCACTCGCTCCTTCTCCCATCATTGCCACAAGGGGATTAGGGAGACGTTTTCTTTGTTTTCTGATTCCATGTTCTTATTTTTATCTCTGATTGGGGAGGTCTTAGTACTAGGACGAAATGTGGCTAAGGCTCAGGGGTATGTGGGATACTAGCACAACTTGTCTAATGGGTTATCAGGAA